GAGGCCGAGCGCTGCTGCGCGCCGCCTGGGCCGCTGCCGCTGAGAGCGGGGCGCTACGAAGGGCCGGCCGGACTCCGTGCGCTCACCGCTCGCTGGCCAGCCAGCCAAGCCCGCTCCTGCCGCCGACGCTGCTCACGCCACGCGCCACGAGCACGACCGCTCGCCCGCGCGCCCGCTCGCAGAAAGAGCCGCTGCCGGGGGGCGGGACAGAAATAACTGGCGCCGACGCCGCCGCGCATGCTCACTGAGTGCCGTGCGGCACGGGACGGGGCCAGCGCCGTCCCCTCCTCCCGCTGGCGACGTCGCCAGGACGCACGCACCCCCCACCCCTCCCGCCCGCCCCACCACCAACACGCTTTCCCCCGGCGCGGCCTGGCGACAGGGGCGTGGCGCGAGGTGGCGGCGCCGCAGCCCGGCGGGCGGGCGGGGCACAAACACCCCTGCCCAGCGCGCACCCCGCCCCGCACCCTGCTCCCCGCAGCCCCACCTCAGGGCCTCACCGCCACGGATGGCGCAGTGCGCACGTGCACCGTGCTCGGCCAGTGGGACCACCCTGCTCACCCGCCCTGCGGGCTGGGGAGAGGCGTCGCCAGCTTTGGTGTCCCCGACAGCTCCTGGAGGGGCGGGCTTGGGGCGGTTCCATCCGAGCCGGGGGGGGGGGGGGGGGGGGGGCGTCCCTGTCTGTGGACGTTGCGACACTTTCGGAGCTTTACTCATTTTATTGTTGAGTGTGAGAAATGCAGAAAGGTGCAAGTGTACACTCCAAGGGGTTTCAAACCTGCGAGTCAGTGAAGTGACATCTGACCTGCCTTCCTCCAAGAGCACACCCGTGTCCTAGCCAGTCTTGGATGATCTGTCATTTCTCCTCCAGAAGGAAGAAGCCCTGTCTGAAGGGGGGCGCAGGATTTAGATGGGGGAATCCTGCCAGGAGGCGAGCAGGGTCCCCGAGCTCGGGGCCTCCTCTGCCAGGGGCGCAGGATCTAGATGGGTGATCCTGCCAGGGAGGCGAGCAGGGTCCTTGAGCTCAGGGTCCTGTCTGAGGGGCGCAGGATCTAGGTCGAGAATCTTGCCTGACAATGGGAGCAAGGAGGGGGCATAGTAGGAAGGGGCAGCGCCCTCCTTGGGTATAAGAGGAAGCACCAGAGGCTAGAGGCAGACAAGCCAACAAGAGGGGGCCTAGGCCCCTTGGACTGCAGCGTGCTGGAGGACAGGGCCAGCCACCGTGGGCCTGCGGCGGAAGGTGAATTTCCTCGAGCCCTGGGTTAGGCATGCGCGAAGACTGGCCCTGGACGGCGTCTGTGTCCCCTCCATCCATCCCCTTCACCCCTCTGCACCTTTTCTTACCCCCCCTCCACCCCCCCGTCCGTCCCTCTCCACCCCCAGGAGCGAGCACGTGGCCCCGAGGTTGAAAGGGCATGCCGCAGGGCGTGGGGTGTCTTTTGTTCTCTGCACGGCTTGGGGGGCCGCGGAGCTTTGTTCCCGCCCCTGCCTTTGTTCCAGCCCTGGCGCCCAGCCCCCCAAATTGAGGTCCGCCCTTGCTCCCTCCTCCACCCTGTGGCGGCCACGCCCCCACCGGTGGACTGCGGGCTCCACCCCACGGAGCCAAGGCCGCTCCCACCTCACCACCACTTGGCCCCACCCAGTGCGCTGAAGGCCCTTCCCACTGACCGACCCCTTCACGCGTCTTACGAGCCAGTACTGTGGCCCGCCAAGAGAACAAATAGGTCTATCCTAGAAAGGGTAAAACCGAGCTGTTCCTTGGAGGCAAGGAATTTGGAGCTCCGGCTCACGTACTTTGGGCATGTGGCCAGGAGGGACCAGTCCTTGGAGAAGGACGTCATGTTTGGAAGAGTAGAGGGACAGGGCAGGAGAGGAAGACCCAGATGAGATGGACTGACACAGTAACTGGTGTAATGGAACCTGGTTGTGTTGGGGACAGTGAAATTAGCTCAGGACAGGGCAGGTTCAGAGCTATTGTGCATAGAGTTGCTGTGAGTCGCAGGCGACTCGATGAAACATAACAGTATTCAGTACAGAAAATGAATCCCTGACACACACAGGGTACAGTGGGACATCCTTTATATATATATATATAGGGTGCGCTGGTCCAAAAGCTAGAGGTGGACAGGTAACCAGTACTCCACTTCCACTGAACCCTCACTTATCTGCGTCAGTCACAGGGTAAGAAGAGCTGTCAAAATACAGGCAACACCTTGGAGTTGCTGACCACAGATTAAAGCATATGTGCAAAAAATGTGAGGAACAACAATTTCTCTTGTTTCCCAGTGTATATAAAAGTAGGCTTACATTATATTGCCCTGTATTAAAGGTGTGCTGGCAGTCCAGTGACTAAAACAGAAGGTCACTAAGGAAATGTTTGATTTAATAAACCCTCAATCTGACCTCTCAGTTCAAACTCACCAGCTGCCTGTCAGGAGAAAGATGAGCATTCTCCTCCCATGCAATTTACAGCCTGTGGAAATCGACTGAAGGGCCAGCTATGAGTCTGTTTCTATTTGAAGGCACAGAACAAACCTTCAGAAGAAAGATAAGGGAATCTGCTTCCATTAAAGATTACAGCCTTTGAAACCTTGTTCTTGTTGTTGTTGTTATGTGCTGTCGAGTCGCTTACGACTCATAGCGACCCTATGTACAACAGCCCTAAACTCTGCTCTGTCCTGTGCCAATCGCACTGTCTCTGACACTCCCATCCCAATTATCCCAGTCACTGAATCAATCCACCTCATAGAGGGCCTTCCTCTCCTGCGCTGTCCCTCCACCCCCCCAAGCATGATGTCCTTCTCCAAGGACCGGTCTCTCTCCTCACAACATGTCTAAAGTATGTTAGACGGAGCCTCAGAATCCTTGCCTCCAAGGAGCCACCCGGTTTAACCCTTTCCAGGACAAATCTGTTTGTTTTCCTAGCAGTCCATGGTATTCTCAATACTCTTCTCCAGCACCACAGCTCAAAGGCAACAATTCTCCTTCTATCCTCCTTGGTCATTGTCCAACTCTCTGATGCATAACACGTGATTGCGAAGACCATGGCCTGTATCAAATGCACCTTAGTCTCCAGGGAGACACCATTGCTCTTCAGTACTTTGAAACCTTAGGAGGCTGTATTACTCTGATCTGTAGGGTCAATGTGAGTCAGAATCAACTCCAAGACAGTGGGTTTCATTTTTAGTATGTAGTAACATTATTAAGATGTTTGAAATATTGTTTTTTTTTCTTTTTTTTTTTTTTAGATGTTTGAAATATTGTGAGAATTGCCAGAATAAGACACAGAGACTTGAAGTGAGCATACTGTTTTTGTAACGTGTCTTCGAATTGCCTAAGACTCATAGCAACCCTCTTCACAGTAGCTCTGAAACCTGACTTATCTTGAGCCAATCTCACTGTCTCTGACACATCTACCCCAGTTGCTATGTCACTCCATCTCATCTAGGGTCTTCCTTTCCTGTGCTGTCCCTCCACCTTTCCAAACATGATGTCCATCTCCAAGAACTGGTATCTGGCAACATGTCAAAACCCTTGCCTCCAAGGAACAACTTGGTTTTACCCTCTCCAGGACAGATCTGTTTGTTCTCTTGGCAGTCCATGTTATATTCAATAAATACTCTTCTCCAACGCCATAACTCATGACATCAATTCTTCTTCTGTCATCTTTAATCATTGTCTAGCTTGCTGAAGTAAAGCAAGTAATTGAATTGCTAGGCACACCTTTATCCTTAGACTAACATTGCTCTTTAACATTCTGGAGAGGTTCCTGACAGATTTTCCCAGTGCAAGAGTCTTTTTATTTCCTGACTAATGGTGCCATGAGTATTGATAGTGGAACAGAGCAAGCTGAAATTGTTAACAACTTCAATCACTTCTCCATCTATCATGCTGCTGCCGGTTGGCCCAGTGGTAAGAATCTTTGTTTGATGTTGAGCTTCAGTTCATTTTAAGACTATAGTCCTTGACCCTCTGCTGCAGATGCTTCAGGTCCTCCATTTCAGCAAGCAAGGTTATGTCATCTTCATAATGCAGGTTGTTGATAATTCCTCCTCCAATGCTGATACCACGTTCCTCATAATACAGACCAGCCACATGAATGATCTGTTCCACATATAGATTGAAAAGATACGGAGACGTGATGCATCCCTGATGCACTCCTTTCCTTATTCTGAACCATTCAGTGTTTCCTTGCCTGGTCCACGTGTAGGTTTTACATGAACACAATCAAGTGTTCTGGGACTCCCATTCTACTCAAGGTTAGCCACAATGTGCTGTGATCCACACAGTCAAATGCCTTTGCATAATCAATGAAACACAGATAAACATTCCTCCGGTACTCTCTGCTTTCAGTCAAGATCCATCTAACATTGGTGATAATGTCTCCAGTTCCACAGCTTCTTCTAAACCCAGCTTGTATTTCCAGTAGTTCTCTGTCAGTGTACTGTTCCAGTCATTTTTTTATAATCTTTAGCGAGATTTTGCTTTCATGTGATATTGTAGAATAATTTCCACACTCTTGTCTTATCACCTTTTCTTTTTGGAATGGGAAATAGATCTCTTCCAGTCAGTTGTCCTTCATATGTCTTAGCACAAGCTGGTGAGCAACTCCAGGACAGCCTCTGTCAGCTGGTACTCCATCAATTCCCGGGGCCTTGTTTTTTGCCAGTTCTTTTCAGAACTGAGCTTCCTCCTTAATCACCATTGCCTCTTTATTGATATATGTTGTTGTTTCATGAAATTTCTCTGTGTCAGTCGATTCCTTTTGGTACAGTGACTCTATGTACTCCTTCTGTCTTCTTTTGAAGCTTCTTGGATTATTTAACATTCTGCTCATAGCACCCTTTGGTGTTGCAATTCTGAGGCTTGAATTTGTTCCTCTGTCCCTTTGGCTTAAGGAATGCCAAGAGAGTTCATCCATTTGATTTTCAGACTCTAGCTCTTTCCACATTTCATTATAAAACTTTGTCTTCCTGAGCTGCCTAGTGGAGAAGTGGTGCCAACTTACTTGAGATGAGGTTGTCACAAACCTTCCGTTTGTAAAATAATGCAATATCTATAACGCTCGCAGTAAAATTAGCAGCAATAAAATGAGGTATGTTTCTAAATACCCACTGCCCTACAGAAAATTCTGACTCAGACAGCACAGGTATGTTGGTGTAAAACTGAGCTCCACCGGGTTTTCAGTGGCTGATTTTTCTGGTTTGCAGTGCAGCTTCTTGCCTTCCCCCCCGCCTTT